TGTAACCTTATAAAATGATTAAACAGTGTTTTTCCCCACATAATTTCTAATTCAATTTTTAAAATACCCCAAGTGATAACGTTTGATAGTACCAGAAAACTAGATGGATTCATCCAAAAATAAATGATGTAAGTCAGCTAACTATTTATCTATCAGCTAAAAACACCATCAGCTGCAGTGACATGATTATATTACACTGGGGAGGGAATGATAAATTTACAGATAATAGCTCATTTAGGAATATAGCTAATAAGGGCCTTTGCTTTGAATTTTTTTGCCACATAGCACCTTAAAAATCCGCTAAAAATATATTTGAGACATCAAATTTATCGTTATGTAAAAACGTGTCCCGTGATAAAAGCAACTGTTCTAGACACTACTAGAAACTGCAAAATATTTCATTTTTGCTATACGCGCCATCTCCTATAAACGATTATTGTAAAAATAATTTATTACGGTCGTACGCGTATGTATAATACACTATGATATTCAAATTAGTCAAAAAGAGAGGACACTTGAAACATATTTACCACGCAGTGTCGATTGCGTTAGGTTAGTGATTATTACGTCTACAGCAGGATATGATCAATACATAAAAAAATGCATGTAGTTCGGGTGACCTGCTCAGTAAATTATATTTTCTTATGTACATAAAATTATTATTTGTTCACAATAAAATTGTAAATAGTATGTTATAGGAGGTATGAAATACCATTCAACAATACAAAAATCTTCTCAAGGATTACATTCTACTATATTAGGTACGTCTAATATAATATTATTATTATTATTATAACTCCTATAAATAATTACATTTTCCTAAATCTTAGTTATTTTAAACCATTCTACGGTGGTATCGATTTAATGTAGCAAAAAGTTCCAAGTTTACGATTAATATTTTTTTAACAAAGTAAAACATAATAACAAAAATTGTTTTAAAGAAAAAAATTATTCAAGTTTGTCGACGTGTATTATGTATACTGTAAAGGTATACTATGTACCTTTAACATTGAATAATAAATCTTGGATATTTTTTAATTAACCACGTATTAAATTTTCGAGAAATTTTACTAATTTATAGATTTTTTAATGAAATTTATAAAAAAATAATTAAGCAAATTGAAAAAAATCAAATGTCTATTTGTATTTGAATAGTTAAACAGCTCAAAAACATTTAAACAATTATGAATATTTTACCATGTATAAAAAATAAAAAATAATAGGTACTTAATATAAACTTTCGCTGAAAATTTCAAATTCCTACGGTTTGTTTTTTGAATTACGTGAAAAAAAATCAATTTTATCGAATTCTTGTTTTGGGTAAACATTTTTTCTTTTCTTTTTAATTTTTCGGTTAATTTTAAAAATACTATGAATTTTTATATATGGCCCTAAACTACTAATTAAATCCAATTTTTTGTCAGAGATTATCACAAAATTATAAACTAAAGCATTTTTACTGTCCTAAAAAGAAGATAATGACAGACACAAAAATAAAACACATCATTATAAAAGCAATACATTTGTCACTCTGCTCAAAATATAAAATATTACTTGAATATTTTAGACTTATATCTTTCGATTAATATTAAAATAAATTAATAAAAGGGTGGATTTTTCGGGTATGACTCACTAATCACAATTAAGATATCTTTAATGATGTTCGACTAGTGGTAATCGACAACCAGTAGGTAACCTACTAAGATAATATCGATCAGATATTTATTCTCTGACCGTTGATATTATTTATTTTATTAATCAAATATAAGGAATGTATGATTATAATTCATAGGAAAATAACCGTTTTTATTTTTTACATATTGAACTTTTTATTGATTATAAATCCACCCTCTACTATCAATAACACTGATAACTAATAAGTAATAAGTAATACCTAGGTTCCGGATGCTAATACTTTATTCGCAAACAATATAATATTATTATACTTATGTTAACAGGATACTCGTATGAAAAATGAAAAATAAAATATCAAAACTATGTACGCACTGCAACCTGCTAATATTAAATAATATAGAATACATTTTTTTTTCAAAAATGTTGTTTTTTGGTGATTTAAAATTTATAAAAAAAAAATATTGTAGGTATATTTTTAAAACTGTCAATACTATATTTTTGAGATAAATAGCGTTTTCTACTAAAACAATTATTCTTTAGGTAATGTAGCCTATAAATATATTCAGGCCCTATTTTTATGTGCAATACGACACACGAAGTGCACCACGAATGTACAAGTGTGCACTACGATTTGAACGTGTGTGAACTACGGTCTATAAAACAAAAATTAAATAATATGCCAGCTACTAGAAAATATAAATATTTCCTGCATTTTTAAATTTAAACTATACTAAATTATAATTTCTTTCTATTAATTTTGAAATATTGCTATCAATCACAAATATTTTGTTGTTGTATTGAATCATTATATACATATATATGTAATACATTTATTTTTCCAAGACAGTAGCGAGAATAAAATTTCCATTTAAAGCAGTAAAATTAAGTTTGCAGTTCAAAATTTTACAAATATTTGAGCCTGGGTATATTCATAGGCAATTTATCGTGTCATTGTCTCCTATTATTACATACTCGTATAGTCACGAGTATATGGGTAAGTGTATAAGCGATATTATGTACATCGTTTATTATAATATAGGTACAACATTATATTTATTATTTACTCGTGTGGCTGCGTAAAAAATAAAAATACATGTATCACTATATGGTTACTGACGATGTGTTATATTTTTAGACTTTATAGCAATTACTGATTAATAAGTAGCGTGGCCTTTACATCAAAATACGTTTTATTTAAGTAGATAAATATTTTAAATCATTAAAACGATAAAAAGAATTTTACATCCAAACATAGAAAATAAATTGTATTGGTTCTTTAAAATAAATACCTATTATTTACTAATTACAGTGGTGGGTAGTTATAATAGTGTTTGACCTTAACCCCAAAATTTTATGACGCCATAATATATTAATTATTATGATATTAATATCGTATTTAGTCATACACTCAATACTTATACAGTATAATAGGTATACTTATATTAGATATTTTTCGTACAAGACCTAATTGACTATACTATATTTATTTATATATATATGTATATAGTTGGTTCAATAATATCAAATGTTAACTACAGTCCGGTCTGCGACTACGGATGATATATAATAGTCCAGCTGCAAAGTCACCCACTCAAAAATATTATCTTAACTACGGCAAAGAGATCATAAAACCGTAATGCACATTTTTTATACTTAACCATCATATATTTTACACCTATCGACCACTCCTTTACATGGTTTTAATATTATTATAAATTAAGTTGTACGTATGAATTGTAAACAGATATTGTATTTCTATTATTTGCAGCGCCAATCTGAAATCAATAAAATTTAGCACTCAAATCGCATGTAAGTGAGTGGGTGATGAAAAAATGCTAGAAACGTAAGTTATTAACTTTAATAATATTATCGAAATAGTGATTTTCATCCTCCTGCACTTAAGATGATCATCGCGACAGAATATCGTGCTAATTGGTAGGCAATAACCCCTTCGCGACATTAATATTATATATACATTACATATTGGTAAAATATTACTCGTAAGTGGGTTTAACTGTAGGTGATAAGTATCATAATAGGTACTTCAGACACGAGTTTATTATTGAACTTCAAAGACTGCCGTTTGTCATGTATTCAAATATTTATTTATACGATTATACTTTAGTATTAGCATTAAGATAGCCGCGTTCGAATAAAAATGTAAAGATGTTACTAGTTTTGTATAGATACTTCACACTAAATAAGAATATTCTTGGTGAACAAAAAAACGAGGTGGTAAAAATGTACAATGATTACATCCACAATAAAAATATATATATATACGTTCAATAAGTTTACCTGTTTAATGATAAATAGTGATTTAATAATATTACAATGGACTCATAGTTTCAAAAATATGATTATAAAAAAAAAAGTAAAATAAACATCATAGATGATAAATTATTTTTATTAACAAAAAAAATGTCATTAATTTTATAAATTTATACCTACTTATTTAAATTTGTGGATTTCAAATAATATAATCCTTGTTAACTTTCAAGCATTATTGAATTTTTTTACCCAATACTGACTCAATTCAGTTTTATTAAAAAAGGAGAGTAATTTTTTTTATTCAGGTTATGAAACCAACAAATAACAATACACTATAATACTATATATACATCTATTTCAATTTAGATTTTAATTGTTATTAACAGGCGTCATTCATTTGGGCGAATAACCCAAAATTTACCTGAGTAGAGCTGTATAATTTGGGCAAGAAATTAACCGATCGTTTAGGCGAATTTATAAATTATTGAATAATAGGGAAGTAACATATTATATTTAACATATATAATAAATACGATCATATTAAATATGCAAAAATATACATTAAGCTCAATATATGCAAAAACATGCTAATTAAAAATAATACCATCTTCATCACAATAATATAAATCATGGACATTACTCATTTAAATTTCATTTGTACGTAGCAAAAAAAATTTTGTTGCATACAAATCCTAACCCCGGTGATAACTATTTTAAAGTGTTAAAACCAATTTACAAATATAGATAGGGAACAATATATATAATATTGTGACAATCAGACATTAGTTATAATTTTATAAATGATTTTTTAGGAATAATATTATACATAACAATTATTTTTTTTTAATAACTCGGCTCGCTCAAATGATGTATATAAATTCGCCCAAATGAAAGTCGTCCTTATTAACCAGATCACCTGGACCCGAATCATAATTTAATTATATAACTTCTTATCTATATCAAACCAATACACAAGCTCATTTGGTATGTGCAAAACTAACCATTCATAAACTAAATCGAGCATAAATGAATCAATACAATTTGTATCAAACTTGAAAGAAATTATATCAGAAGAACTAAACAAATACAAAGAATAATTATTATTTAATAATATATTTATTTCAATATTTTTTTTTAAATTATAAGTTGGATCTTAAGTAACTATATGTCACCATACAGCTTGGATACTTTTTGAAATAAACTCAAATCTGAAAAAATTAAAAAATTAAACATTAACACATTATAATCTAAAATTACTATAGATATTTTGAATTTACATTATCAACAGCGTCTGCTTCTTCATCTTCACTAATATCATCTCCAAATTCAATATCCTCATCCAATCCATCGTCAACAAATGTGACTGTATCATTGATGCGAACTAAAAATAATACATATTTTATTTAAAATAAAATATATTTTTGGATATATTTATGATTAAATCAATGGAATAATTTTTACCAGTTTCTGGAAATTCTCCATATGTTTTCAAGTTACGAGCTTCATCAGGCGTATACTTCAAAATTACATCAGCTTTTGTATCTTGATATTCACGTAAACCTATTAATACTATATCAGCTTGATTGATCCACACCTAAAATAAAAAATATATCATATAAAATAACTATATTCAAGTGATATTGAAAAATTGTTAAGAGCTTTCAATATTTTTAAGCAGTTATTTTACAAAATAACATTTTAATACACAGAAAAACTGTTCAGTACTTAACTGAAATAATAGTTTAATTAAAATTTCTTATTTAATTTTATCGGTATTATTAAAAATATCAAATATGAACATAAATTAAATGTTTATTATCATTTTGATTATACTTAACTAAACACATATTTAGTTTTTCATTGAGAGGATGCCACGCTTACATGTGTTACATCATCTAACAAACGTAAAATATATCGAATTTAAGTTCAGTAGAAGCAATTTTGTGTTATTAGCTTAAATATTAAAATTAATTGACTTATAATCAAACACCAGGTAAGAATATCACGTATTCTTTTATTGATTTTTGTTTAATATATTTTAATTTTTAAGCAAGTTATTAATATACAAAAATCCTTATAACTTGTTTAAAATTAAAATTTATTTAGTAACAAATAAAAGAACACATTGATATTCTTACATGGTGTTTGATTATTTTATTATTTTCAATTTATTTGAATATTCAAGCTAATAACACATAATTTAAGAAGATTAAATTAACACGTCGAACGTATATGTATTTATTTAAGTCCACTCCATTTAATAAAATCTTCTAATAAATAGAAACAGTTTTCACATGATCATACTTTCCAAAGATGTTTGGATACATATTTATAATATTTATTTAATTATACTAATCAATGATCAAATATTTCAGCTACACATTCAAAATATTAATAATTTACTTCAAATGCAAATTTGAAACCAAATTGTATTGAATGTGTAACTGAATGACTAAAGGACATGTCAAATAGTATCAAGAAAACAGTCAAAAAATTAAAAGGACTTTTGGAGCTTGTGAGACTTATATTTGATATATATTTACCATATATATTAAAATTGAGCACCTTTTTCCTAAGTTTTCCTCGAATGTGGCAAAGTCGTTTTACACCATCAAAACACATTGCTTCTAGACGTCCATTTCCCAACATTTTGGTAACTTGAGCATATTCTAAATATATATAAAATAAAGTAATGTATATATCATGAAAAATAAATAATAGTTGAGAATTAAATAAATCTGAAATAAATACCTAATTTATTTTACTTAGATTTTTGTATAATAACATAGTGGAAGCAAATATTTTATTTTTACTACCTAACTGCACTTAAAATAAATTTAATTTACTAAGTTGTATATACTTTATCAGTTGGTCATTAAATTTAAAATGTAATAAATGTGATCATTATAAGTAAGTGTAAAGTATTAAGTAAGGAGCTATGAACATTTAAACTAGCTCATTTTTTCATACAAACTACAGGATCATTTTATTGAAATTTATAATTTTTATGTATAGGTATTACAATTTAATATTTTATAAAATAACTATAATTATATTTATAAAAATTAGAAATAATACTTGCATGTTTTATAGATAAAATTGTGGCATTAGTACAAATTAGCATTTTAGGCTCAACAATATTGCAATAAAACACACATTATAGGTATCATCTTAAACTTATAATTAACATTTTTTATCTTCATTTGTTTATAAAACATTTTACAAATAATTTAGATTATCCAATTAAGCATTATGTACTAAATATTTATTAACTAAATTATTACCTTGTCCGTCTTCTTTGAATACCAATTCACGCTTTTCTGTTTCGTTCTCGTTCTTACCTCGCCTACGATTTTTTCCTCCTTTTCCTAAGGAGAAAAATTCAAATAATTACAATAAATAAAATGAAAATAAAAATATTTATTATGTATAAGTAATAGTTGATTGTTGACTATTAATGAAACAAAGCAAATGATTGTTGTTAAAGTCTGAGGCTTTTCAAACAATTTACTAACCTTTATTTTTAGGCATCGTGTATTAATTTGAAGACTTTTAGTTGCAAACTCAGTAGTTCAAAGTTCTGAGGTTAATAGTTAGTTTGTACGATTAATAAAAATTAATAACACGTTTTGAAAATTTAGGAAATTCTCCAGAAAGAAAGAAAAGAAAAAGAACGCGTTATCAAAATACATTAGTAAAGTTCGATTGTGTTTGGTTATTCCCGCGTGGTTAGATATAATTTCTATGGTCTAACCACGAGAATGATAAGTAGACCAAAGAGTATAGAAATTATGAAATATTTGAATACTCCCCCTCCGCCAAATTTATTTTTTAGGTTTTATTATAGCCATAGGTACGTACTACGTAGGTTCTACAAGAAAAAGTACTCTTTTACAAATCTAAAATATAAAAATCTATTATTAAGAAAACGGCTAATCAAAACTAGAAAAAATTGATAAAATTCATAGAATTCAAGTGTTGAGCCATATAATAATTCTAACTACGGAATAACTTGTGTTCGACGATATCGTATCATTGATTGTAGTGGTAAGTTTTGAGTGTTGGCGAAATAATATGAAAACAATTTTATTGTAATATATATATTTATGATTAATAAGTGGTACTTGGTGTGGTCGTAAAGATACTTAAGAAATACTCAGTGTTGGATCAAAGTCTCGAAAAGCTAAGTGTGACTAATAAAGTTGCTAATTTATAAGTCATTTGATGCGTTAATATAATATCTAATAATATTATTTTTAATACTAAATAAAAAAATTAAAATATTTAAAAAAAAAAATTCAACTAGGTATACATATCAGAGTTGTGCAAAATTATTATTTAACAAAACTTTAAAGATTATTCAAAAACTTTTCGATTTTTTTATTTGAGTAAACAAGCTTATAATTGAATCATTTTTTTTTTTTCATAATTATTCATCATTATTATTTAATAGTTTAATATACTATTTATTATTTTTATAATTATTACAAAATATTATTCATAATATAATTAATATATGATTTTTGGATTTATTCCGAATAAAATACGATTTACAATCGTACAATTTAAAATACAATGCCAGTTATTGTTTTTAATATGTGTTTTTTTTTTTTAATTATCAACCATGTTTATTCATATAAAATAATCGAAAATTATTTGAATAACTTTCTTTGAAATTTAGTTGAATAATTTTTATTTTTTAATTCGAATATTTGTAAAAAAAATCATTTGAATAAAATGTTATCTAAATAATCATCTAGATAAAATTTCATTAGAATAATGTTCTATTTTTAATTCTAATACATATACAAGTACTTTTTAAATGAGTCATGAGTTATATCAGTTTATTACTAACATGATCCTTTAAATCATAGATTCTCAACCTTTTCTAGTCCATGGACCCTTTTAAAATATAAAATTCAATCACGGACCCTCCATCAAAAAAAAAAAAATATGTATAATCAAATAAATGCGAGCAAGACATTGTTATTATTATCTTAAAAACGCTATCGAAACAAATTTATTTCTGGGCGGACCCCGGAGTAACCATTTACGAACCCCCAGTTAAGAACCTATGCTTTGGACAATGGTGTTTACACATTTTTGGTGAGCATATTGATATAACAGAATACAGATTAAATTATAATTTAATATTTATTTTTATTTTACATATTATTAAATATATTAAGCATGAAAAGATAAAGTTAAGTAGGTCTCAATGTAAAAAAACAATCAAAATAAAAAAAACTGATAAGTTAATTAATGTAACAAATTTCAATTATTGGCATACGGCGGCTATTGTTAAATCTGCTCCTGCACGCAATAGTACCTATTACATAAAATGAATTGTAACTTATATAGTTATATCCACATAAACAATTGTGTACATATTATATATTAAATGTGCATAGGGACTAACAGCTATGCTGATATTTGTTATTTTAATAATATATTATGTAATGTTATTACATTTTAACATAATTTTATATGAAGAAGTACAGAAAATCTAAAAGTGTTGTCCCCAGCAAAAATACAACAGTGAATTCATGAAATTTTTTGTTTGTATTGTTAATATATTATTAAAATTACCAATTTTATGTAAACCAGTATAATACACACACTACAACTACACACATAATATATGTATAAAATACTAAAAAAAAGGAAAACAAATTACAGTACTGATCTATTGTACATATGGTGTCAAGTGATAACTATTATATTATTATGTTAGATTATGTGTTATGTTAGAACTCGGTGATATATCAATATCAATATACCTATATGAAAAACGATTCTGAGCAGAGACAGTGCTTTTTTGATAAAGCTATTAAAATAATTAATTAGTGAATTGATTTTAAATACACTATGTTTGGTCATTTTTATCACTTATATTAAACATACCTACCAATTTATGTTAATCAATTAATCTTTTACTTTTAGATGAATTTTGTATTGTTAGATAAGATAATTTTTCAATAGGTGATTATTATTAGCGGCGGTGACGTCGGTCAAATGTTTTCTTGTAATAATACTATGACTGTTGATTAGTAATTATAAAAAAAATTAGGCAAATAATTCGCACGCGGACGCGATTATAACGTTCGTTTAAAATTAAATAGCTCCTATTAGATTAGACCATTTACCTACACTAATTAAAGCCAGCGGATAAAATCAGTCATCGTCCGAGATTGATCGCACATACTTAATTTTAGGTAAATATTCACTCAAAACTGCTAAAATTGAACTTGTTGTTTTGACTGGGTGTATTCTATTAGGTAAATGTTCGCGTACAAACACAAAGATGTACCTAATGATGATATGGCGCGAATTTTAACCGCGTAAAAATGTTACAGTGTGTAAACTTTGTATTCTAGCAAATACAATTCGTGGCGATTTAAAATCGTGTCCCCGCATGAACAATTTGTCAAGTATGTACCTAATACCTATAAAAAAATAAGAGCCTTAACAGTGTGCCGTCTTTTGGATGTTGGATATGACGAAATAAAAATTTACAACAATCCTAGCCATTTTTTTTTTTCTTTCCTTATAACTCTTTTACATTATGTACATTATTTTATAAAATTTAAAAAAAGGCCTGTAGGGGTATCTGACTTCCACATCTCCCCTATATACGCCTCTGATTTGGTTCGTATATTCTTCAAAAAATAAACAATTATTACGAAATCGTAGTACTCTACTTCAGTCAAAAGAAGGAAAACTTCAGCCGAGTGATAAATGATTATGAAAAAGCAGAATTATTTAATATACAATTTGCTAAAGTTTTTCAACCACATAGCGATATCCCGGTATCTCCGATATTGTGTAATATAGCAACCTTGTTAACCACTCCATTACCTTCTTTACCAATACACCTCCCTCCAAAACAATGATCTTTTAATGAAGTAAGTCAAGGCGTGAATTTGTTTTCTTCCCACAAGTTCCTCGGTTATGACCTAATAACAGCTGAGATCGCTCGTCAACTTCCAAAAAATGGTACATTGAAACTAATACATATACTTGATATACTTCATGTAATTATTTGTTAACCTTATTTTCCTCTGCACTGGAAGTTTAGTATTATGATACTCATTATTCATATTCAAGTTTGAAGTTCTATAGGTATCTATAGTATTAAAGTGTTTATTAACTATGAATTACCATATTATTATATTTGTACTCAGTATTGTGTATCGGTTCGTACTTCGTACTAATGACTATCTATTATAAAACTAGGCCATAATACACGATAATGTATATTACAATATTCAACAATTTTGTGTTATCGCATCCCATACCTACGCAATATTTTAAAATCACAGCTTTAATTTAAAGTATCTTATTACTAATATTTATTTTTAATCAAATTTACACATTTTAATATTTTATAGATTGTGCTAATTTGTGCATGTATATTAAATCATTCATATTACACACTATATTTGCAGTATAATACACTTATACATCTAAATGTTTTATGTATAATTAGTAGTTACTACTACTTAGGTTATATAAGAAATTTGAAAAAAAAAATATATAATAATTAATAATATTCCACATGATGTTATGGTAATAACAAATAATAATTACTTAATAACCTTTATCAATATTTTTCACTCAACAGCTATTACTTATTTATCAGTATTATTATTCTATGAATGTCGTATAGATATATAGTATATACTACGTATAATTTAACATGAAGATTAAGTCTAAGTGTTTGTTCTCTTAATTTTGTATAATTTTAATAATTGATGGTATTAATGAATGATTTACATGCTCACGGCTCACCCACGCTTTATTAGGTAGGTATCCTACAATAACTCAATTTATTAGTTTTCAAATTTTTACTGAAAATTTTAAGTCAGTAGATATTTAAAAACCATATTATATTCTGATATTTAAATAGATACTTAAATTTTTTGCGCAATTTAAGGAGTACCCTCTGTTAGTTAAAACTTTTGAGTAAGAACAGTTCTTTTTTTGTAATTTGTTAAACAGATATATTTTTACAAATATTTATGCATTTAAATTAAAATCCAAATTTTATAATAATAAATTTTACTCGCCAATTTGTATGGACAATACTTACTTTAATAGTCCTTAATAAATGATGTAATCGGAGGCTTTACATATAATATATAGAATATAAGCTTAAATGTATAATATTTAATTTAGTAGATACTTTTTGTACAAGGTACATTATTTTTTAAAAGTTTTAAAATTTTAATCAATTAATAGTAATTATACCTATTGAACAGTAATTCAATAGTAGTAAAAATATGGTCTTAATTAGCTGTAGTCTATATGTATACTTAAAAATTACAAAATTAGAATTTGAATAAATTCATTATAAAAGGAAAAATAGTGGTGTGCTTGGTGAATCAACCTATTTATGTAAGTATAACATTATTAGGTATTATTATTATGGTGAATGGCGATATATAATCGTCCACCGACGTTTTATTATTATAATAATAACGTTATCAGTGTTCGACAAACTAAAATCCGGAGTAACCGCTAAATAATTCTTTATTATCTATGGTTACCAGAACTATAATGATTTCAGTACACCAGTATCTCAAATTCTCATAATTATTATATTTATTTTATTGAATGCTAATTTACCGTCAGGGTCAGACGTCAGTGGTTGGTCTTAGACTCCCAGACTCTTAGTCGTCTCAGA